TCCAAAATACCTAGAATAACTGTGTTCAAGGACACAAAGGAAAGTATGATAATGAATGAATAGCAGGAAACCTCAACAGAGGAATAAGTAATAATACAGATTCAAATGAAAATTCTAGAGAGTGAAACCACAAAGAAAAATATGTTGAGGGTTTTGAGAGAAAATTACTGTCAACCAGGAAATTCATCTCCTAAATTAAAATTTAAAAATTACATTTCCAGCCTAACAAACCCAAAGAAAGTTTATTTCTGTCATAACTAACTCCCTAAGATATTTTAGGTCATTGGGAAAGTCATGACGTATTTTCCTATATTTTTCTATACAAAAATGCATCATTATGTTCTTATTTTTCTATACAAAAATGCATCAGGATGTTCCCGACAGTCCAATACTTTTGATTATGTATATCTTATTTATATATATAACTACATGGAGAGGATTTTCAAAAAGTTTATGAAAAATGCACATATGTCTACCTGGGACAGCTAGCAGGTGTAGTGGTTAAGATGGTTGGATCCCATGTGACTGACTGACTGGTTTGATGAGACCCAGCAACTTGAAAAACATGCCAATGAGTGTACATGTGAGCCCAAAATTCAGAGAGGAAAATAGAGGAAAAGGGATTCCAGTATGGTCATCCCACTGGGGGGGTACTTTCTCACTTTATCTCTCTCCCTTCCTCCAGCAAGTGCACACACCCTATAGCAAATTAAAAACAAACAAGCAAACAAACTCGGTATGGATTTTTGTACCAATATAACCACATACTTTGATTCAATTTTTCCACACATTCTTCATTTTTTTTTTTTTTTTTTTTTTGAGAGGTTTTTCCTATAGGGTGCATGTGCTCACCAGAAAGAGAGAGAAAGAGACAGAAAGCGACGAGAAATCACCCCTTGGGGGGATGGCCACACCGCAGTTCCTTCTCCTCTATTCTCCTCTCAGGATCTTGGGCACACATGCACACATGCACACACGCCCAGCATGAGTTTTAAGCCACTGGGTCCAGGACTCAAACCACGGTCGACTACATGGGAGTCCAGCAACATAGCCATTACACTAACTGCTGGTTCCATCCACACATTCTTCGAAATTTCCTCCTGTGTATGTACATATGTGTGTGTGTGTGTGTGTAAAACTTTATGTACATGTTATATTTCCAATAAAATATGTTTAAAATAAACTATATGTCCAGAGTAGAAGTTTAATGGTGTAAACCATCTATGGCAAAAACAGAAAATGACATTAAGAAAAAATAGAAACCATATGCCCAAAGGGAAGAGAGTACCCAGAGAGAAATTATCTATAGTCTTAAACATGAAGCATTTTCTAGACAAGGGTCCAAAATGTGCAAAAGAAAAGTTGGAGGATTCTTGACAAATGAAAAGGGATGGAATCCCATTCTAGTTGTGTGGATCATAGCTGAGAAGATAGTCCTGGATCTTCACATGTCAGAATGCACCCACTGAAGAGAGAAAAGGCTCCAGCTGGGCACTCAAGAATGGAATAACCTCGGCTGTCTGTTCTGCATTAGAATTTTATGTCACCCTTAATTTTTTTTTGATCTCTAGCCTTTTACCAGCCAAGAGATCCTACAACCAGAGTATTTTGATATTCTTTACTATCCTCCTTACTATCTCCAGTTTTTTGTTCATTTTTTGTTTTTTTATTTTGTTTTTGTTTTTGTATTTTTTTAGTTTTCCATGGAAAGAGAGATTAGTTTAGGAATAAATGTACATAAAAAATTTTTAAATGCAGACAGGGAAAGGGAAGGAGGAAATACTTTTCCACTATATTTCAGAGGCCATGTGTATCTTATCATCAGAAGGAAAACTGTTAAAGATCATTTTTTATGTGTGAAAACAAAATATGCAAAAATATGTAGCATTAGAATGAGTATAATTTACCACAATATTAATTGTTCTATATCAGGGTTTTATGAGGTCGTGATATTAAAAATGTGATCCATAGGATAAAGATATTTAAATATTCTTAACTATAGGACTGTTTGGACTAGAAAGATAATTTTTGACATGTAACTCTTGACCTGAAATGGCAAAATAATAGCCCGTTATGAAACCTGGCAGACTTAGCGATAAAGGCACCTTGAATAGATCTCTAAAGTATTATGTATTACTATGAATGAAAGTAATAGTATTTTAATTATCCAATATAAAAAGCCTTAGGAATACTATAGAATGTCTATATTAAAAACTTGGTTAAGTATGGGGACCAGCAGGTGGCATAGTGGTTTAGGCACTTGACTCCCATGTGGCTGAATGCGATTTGAGTCCCAGACCTAGTGGCTTGAAAGTCATGCCAGGCACATGTGCATGAATGCCCAAAATCCCAGGAGGAGAATGGAAAAGAAAGGATTGCAGCATGGTCATCCCCCTTAGGGGGTGATGTTTTATTTTCCCTCTTCTTGTCTCTCTCTAGCAAGCACTTGTGCCCTATGGCAAAACCTTAAAAAAACTTGTATAATTCATTAAAATTTTCCAAACACATGATGGACTTTTTGTAGGCTCAGTCTTTTCTCAGGAATTTATAAACATTCTGTAAACGTGTGTAGAAACCCTCTGTGTATGTGCCTTATTTATTTTATAAATATTAGTATGCCATCTTTGGCTTTTCATTTCCTAGTTACCATCAGCAGCTAGAAGAAATTTTTTTCTTTATCTGCATAGAAAATGCAGTATTTTTCTCTTGCAAAGCTCTATATGAGGAGAAAGAGAAAAATGAATATTTTTCATAACTTTTTTATGAATAAAATGTTTTCTAGGTAGATTTCAAAATCAGTTTAAGATTTGTGTTATAAAATGAGAATCTGCATCAGTATATATTTTATATTTTGTATGTTTTTCCAATGTCTTGGGAAAGTAAAGTGTTATTTGGCTTTCTTAATAACTTTTCATTTTAATTTTCTATGATAGGATTAAATTTCCTTGATAATAAATATTGAAAGTTTCTAGTTCATATTTTCCTGCTGTATCTCTCCAGTTGGAGGTACAGTGGCAGTAAAATGAATGAAAGAATGAATTAAAGTGAAATGAATTATTTTCTACTTATCTGACATATACTATGATTCACTGTGTATAAAATTGCCAATGGATAGTTCCAGGACTGTGCTACTTAAGGTTTTATAGAGCTGAGTCAGCTGAACTGAATTAATGATTGATTTCTAAAAGCCTCTCTTAAGTAAACTTAATCTGTTTTTGCCTTTTTACATCCTAGGTGCCCAAACCAGTAGATTATTCTTGCCAGCCCTGGTAAGTATTAAAAATGTTTATGTAGCTGAGTTGAAATACCATACCCTTAGCTTGAGGACACCTTAAATGTGGGGAGTAGTAAACCATGTTCCATTTTCATTTGTCCTGGCTAAGGATGTTTTCAGATATAACAAAACACCATAATAAATTCATGTATTGCTGACCTTCTCATATCTTTCTTAAAGAGTGGGGTGTGTGTGTATGTGTGTGTGTGTGTATGTATGTATGTGTGCATTTGTATGTATATATACACATTAACACACGTGGCTATAAATTAAGTTTTTAACAACTGCAGAGAGGAATGGGACTTGGACAAATATGAATCATATTTTAGAAAGGTTGGTTTCATAAAACAGAGAAGAATATTATTGCATTAAAATGAAAATTTAGCTCAGAAATGATAGTAGATAGTAGTTTTAAAATAGAATTTACAGCTATATAATATGGGGATGGTAAGAAATACCGAAATTTGTTTTTGCTCTAGGTGGAGCTCACTTTACTATTCAGAGGTTGTCTGGCAGAATCATTAACAGAACTAAGAAAGTGAAATGGATAATGATTATTATTTTCCAAATATCTTTGACTATAAAAATTTATTTAAGATCCAGAATTGTTATAGTCACATCACAATAGCAAATATATACTGAGTAGTTACTATGTGCTTAGGTTTTTATGTGTTTTTTTATATCTTTTTTTCCCAACACTTAAATAAGGAAAGTTGTTGTTGTTACGAATGAAGAAACAGGTTAAGGCCATGGTGTGTGATAGAGTCAGAATTCCAATTCATGCCATCTGTGAATTGTTGAACTGCCCCTCAAAATACAAAACATGGGCATATTACTCATTTGTTTGTTTCCTTGTGTTTTGTGTTTGACTCTTCTTAAAATGATGGAATAGAGCCGTCATTGGGCCATGATGGTTAAGGCAACTAGATCCCACGTGGCTGACTGGGTGGTTGGAGCCCCAGACCTGACAGCTTGAAAGACATGGCAGGCATGTGTACATGCCCGAAATCCAAAAAGAAGAGAGAGATGGAGGGAAAAGGATTGCAGCATAATCATCTTCCAATTAGGGGGGAGGGGACTTTCTCTGTGTGTGTGTGTCTGGTGAAGGCACACACGCTGACAATTTTTTCTTTTTTAGATGATGGAATCTATTTTCATTTTCTTGATATTGAAGTGTATGTATCCAAATAAGAGATCAGGATATGTATATAAATGAAGTATCTTGAGAGTATACAGTACTAGTTCAGTTTGCAGGTGTAAATGCCACCTGAGTTGTCTGATTTTTTTTTACATATTCAGTATGTTTTCTGTTTTAATACCAAGGCATGGTAGATTTAGGTTTCTTTTTAAATCGTGGATTCTTCTTCCCCTCAGACCTCATTGTCTCTCTGTAGTCACTTCTGTTCTGTAGTCCTTCCCTACCCTTTCTGCTG